AATATTGGACGAGGGACCTCACTACAGGAAGAGACTGATTTCGGAGATGATATTCATCAGAAGGTAAACGCATGGACTCAACCTGCATACGGATATGAAGGAGCTTCCGAAGGCCTACCTCCCGATTATAGATAAACTATAAAAGCTCAAGTTGTTGTAACGTCTTGTCAGTCGGTGTCGCTCGTACACAGTAATAAGTGCTTTTGACGAGATTTTTTATCACTTTACAATTTTCATTAGTACTAGCTAATAACTAAAAAGTGAATCACTGTGTCTGATACCGACTGGCCAACATATCAGGAACCGGTTCTTGAATTATTCATGATAATGTTTGCGATACGGTACTTTGTAATTGTGATGAGCGTCCCTATTTTCGGGATAATTAATTATATTATTAAAGTTTTTTAATAAATTAGTTTCTATATTCTTTAATTTGACATTTTTAACATTTTTCTTTTTTTCATTTTCTTTTCTTTCTTTTTATTTAATTCTGGCATTTAAATTCTCGATGTAGGGGAGCTCACCATGACAGGATAACTTTTACTTTGTATATGTTTGTTAGAATATAAGATACATTTATATTACGGAGAAAGAGAGTGAGAGAGGGAACTGGTGTGAGGCGCCATCTACATTCATGTTATAATTTTGTATCAAGTGCGAGCTCGGCGATTAGCTCTCTTCAAGAGTAGGAAAGTCAGTCACAGAGAGGTGAGAGGAGAGTGAGCATGTCGGTATGGTGTGTTCTACTAATAAAGAAAATTTAAGAAGCAGTTGTACTTGTTTGTTATCTCAAGCTCACTTCAATAACATAATTTAACATGGTAGCAGAGCGTGGTTATGGTTTTGTTTATTTTTTGATACACTAGAAGTTGAGGAATAGAGAGTGATCAAAAAGGTTAGTTACTGGCACAACAACAAAAGAAAAAAAGAAAAAAGGAAAAAATGGCTGTGTCAGAGAACAAAGGATTCACGCTACAAGTATTCGACGGTACGCACTACGATAAGTGGAAGTACAAATTAAAGTTATTCTTGGAATTCAAAGAGTGTAACGAAGTAATCGAAGAGGAAGAAAGACCAGAAACAATAACGGAAGCTGAGTGGAAGAAAAAAGAAATAAGAGCTAAAAACTATATTGTGAACAGTATAACAAATACGCAATTAGAATTGATTATTTCAGAAGAAAGTGCCAAGAAAATGATTGCCAAATTGGATGAAAATTATTTGGTTAAAAATAGTGCAGTAAAATTGTTGTGCAAAAGAAAGTTACTCGATATAAAAATGGAAGAGAGAGAAAACCCGACAGAATTTTATAATAATTTTGAAAAACTTGTGAATGAACTGAAAAGTGCAGGAGAAAATGTAACAAAGGAAGATAAACTAAATTATTTTTTACTTGCACTGCCAGAAAGTTTATCGCATATAGTCGATATTGTAGATGCGTTACCGGAAAAGGACAGAACAGTGGAATTTGTAAAATCAAAATTGGAATTAGAATTCAAGAAAAAACATAACGATAGTGGAAATTCGAAATCTAGTGTTTTTGTAATAGACAAGAAGCAAGGAAAAAACAAGAAAAGGACATGCTACACATGTGGTGGTGTAGGACATTTTCAATACGATTGCCCAACGTATAAAGATTCTTGGAATCAAGGCACGCAGCAGCAAGGAGGCGGCCAAGGAAGTGGCAGAGGAAGTCGCACGCCACAGCGAGGAGGTGACAATAGTACAAGCAACAGAAGAGGCCATTCGCTGCAACGAGGCGGTTGGCGAGGAAGCAGCCATCATCGTGGAGGTGGAAGGTATAATCGGCGCGGCGGCAGCGGCTACGAACAATGGCACGGCAGAGGCGCAAGAGACAACAACGGCAGCCAAGATCAAAAGAGCGCGAGCGATGGCGCGGCATTCAGCGCGTCAGCACAGATTAATTCTGCGTATAATGCGAACAAGAATGTAAAGAAAATTGATTGGATTTTAGATAGTGGATGTACGGACCACGTAATAAATGATGAAAACTATTTTTATGATTCAGTAATAATAAATGAACCGATTAAAGTGAAAGTAGGTGATGGTAGAAGTCTAAATGCAACCAAAGTAGGATGTATAAACAGTAAATTTAAAGTTTTTGACAAAGAAATTAATGTAGAAATGAAAAATGTTTACTTAGTTAAAGAAATGAATAAAAATTTGATTAGTGTTGCCAGAGTGACAGATAAAAATAAAGTAGTAGCAATTGGAAATAATGCCAAAGTTTTTGATAAAAATAATAAATTGATTGCAATCGCGTGGAAGGAAGACAGGATTTATAAGATGACAAGCTATATAGATAAAAATATTGAGTCTAACGTAGTAAGAAAAGATAATAATAACTTAACATTGAAAGAAAAATGGCATAGAACGTTAGGTCATGTAAATTTTAATTATCTAAAAACTATGTGTAAAAATGATGTATTAGTAGGTTTACCTAAAGAAATAGAGTTAGATTATTTTAAGTGTGCTACGTGTATAGAGAATAAAATGCACAATATACCATTTGACAACAATAGGAAAAGGGCCAGAGAAATCTTGGAAATAGTTCACACAGATTTAAATGGGCCTCATCATGAAGGATATAAAGGGGAAAAGTATTTTATCACTTTTATTGACGATTACAGTAAAATTGCAAAAGTTTATCCTATTAAGTCTAAAAATGAAGTACATGATAAGTTTGATGAATATATAAATTTAGTAGAGAACAAAACAGGAAAGAAAATCAAGAAACTGAGATGTGATAATGGCTCCGAATACTTGAATAAAAACATGTATAGGCTATTTAAAGAGAAAGGAATTGAATTAGAACCATGTCCACCGTATGTACATGAATTGAATGGGACTGCAGAAAGGTACAATAGGACAATTATGGATAGTGCTAGGTGTTTATTAACCGAGGCTAAATTAGAAAAAAAATACTGGCCTGAAGTAATCTGCGCTGCAACCTATTTGAAAAATAGAGTTATAACAAATACAATAGAAAGAAACAAATCTCCTTATGATATATTTTTTAATGAGAAACCTGATACAAAATATTTGAAACTTTATGGCAGTAAAATCTTTGTAAGAGTACCTGAAAGCAAAAGAAATAGTAAATGGGATAGGAAAGCTGACTTAGGGCTTTTAATTGGTTATGATGTAACAGGATACAGAGTTTTAATTCGAAATAGAGTTGTAGTAGCAAGACATGTTGACATTATTGAAGAAGATGTTAAATGTATAGGCTTAAATGATAGTGATTTAGAAGAGGAGAATTTAAATAAAATTGTTGAAAGCAAAATGGTTGAAAACGTAAATGATAAAGGAAAAGAGAATTTTGAAAATATAAATGAAAAGGTAAATTTAGAAAAACTAACTGATAATGAAAAAAAGAACAATGAAGAAGAAGTACCTGAAAGAAGAAAGTCTGAAAGAAATATTAAAAGACCGAGTAGATTTGATGAAAATTATGTATATCAAAGTTGTATCTATGTAAACTATTGTAGTGCCGATAGTCCTGTAAGTTTTAAAGAGGCAATTGAAAGTTATGAATCTAGTTTTTGGATTGATGCTATGAACAAAGAAATAAATAGTTTAAAGAAAAATAAAACGTGGCAACTAGTAGAAAAGCCAGAAAATGAGAAGGTATTAGATTTAAAATGGATTTATACAAAAAAGAGCGAGAATGTTTATAAAGCTAGGATAGTTGTAAAAGGTTTCCAACAAACAAATGTATTGGAAGATATTTATTCTCCGGTTGCGAAAACTCAAACATTAAAAATATTATTGTCTTATTGTTGCCAAAATGGTTTATTAATACAACAAATGGATGTAGAGACAGCGTTTCTAAACGGGAATGTTAAATCGAAAGTATTTGTTAAACAGCCTGTGGGTTATGAGGATGGAACTGAAAAAGTATGTATGTTAAATAAAGCGTTATATGGATTACGTGAAAGTCCTCGTGCGTGGTATGAGTGTCTCGATGACTATTTGAATGGATTAGGTTTCGTAAGAAGCAAACATGACTATTGTTTATATACGTTAAAAGGAAGGGATGAGATTATTTACGTGATTATATTTGTGGATGATTTACTAATCTGCTGTAAGAGTAGACAGAATGTAGATCTCATTAAAAGTTTATTAAACAAAAGATTTCAAATGAAAGATTTAGGGAAAATAAGTACGTATTTAGGCATTAATATTGAATATGATGAAAAGAAACATGAAATGTCATTAGATCAGGAAAAATACATTGAATCGTTAGCAAGAAAATATCAAATAGAACATGCAAAATTGTATGAGATTCCAATGGAGCAAAATTTAAAATTAGAACCAGCAGAGGAAATAAATGACAATGTGAAATACAGAAATTTGATAGGAGCGCTTCTGTATATAAGTTCTGGAACAAGATTAGATATTAGTTACAGCGTTAATTATTTAAGTCGTTTACAGAACTGTTTTAATGAAACGCATTATAAGTATGCATTGAGAGTTCTGAAGTACTTATATTTAACTAAAGATTTGAAATTGAGATTTAAAAGAAATGATAAAATAGATATTCTAGAGTGTTATGTTGATGCAGACTGGGCAGGAGATTGCGTAGACAGGAAATCAACAAGTGGATATATTGTTAAGTTGTTCGGAAATGTAATTCATTGGAAGTCTAGAAAACAAAAAAGCGTAACAAAATCTTCAACAGCTGCTGAGTACGTTGCACTGTCTGAAGCAGTGAGTGAAATATTGATAATTAAAGAGTTGTTGTGTGACTTTAATGTTAAATTAGAAAACCCAATTAATGTATTCGAAGACAATTCTGGTGCTGTGAGTATTGCTAAATTTGGAAATTTTACCAAGAGATCAAAGTACATTGAAGTACATTATCATTTCATAAATGAAAATTATGTTAATGGGATAATAGATATAGTTAAAGTGAGTTCAGAAAAGAATTTAGCAGATATTTTGACTAAAGCTCTTGGACGAGTAAGATTTAAAAAATTAAGAGATTTGTTGAACTTGACTTAAAAGAATATTAGATTTACGTTAATATAAATGTAAGGAGGCGTGTTAGAATATAAGATACATTTATATTACGGAGAAAGAGAGTGAGAGAGGGAACTGGTGTGAGGCGCCATCTACATTCATGTTATAATTTTGTATCAAGTGCGAGCTCGGCGATTAGCTCTCTTCAAGAGTAGGAAAGTAAGTCACAGAGAGGTGAGAGGAGAGTGAGCATGTCGGTATGGTGTGTTCTACTAATAAAGAAAATTTAAGAAGCAGTTGTACTTGTTTGTTATCTCAAGCTCACTTCAATAACATAATTTAACAATGTTAGTTTGTGTTTGCTCTGAGGAAGATTAAAAAATGAGCCGAACATGTAAGCGCGTTTGTTAAATAAAGAAGTTTCAAGCTTCATAAGTGTATTATTTGCGTGACGTCTTCTGCGCCTGACTCCTAAAGCCCGTATTCTTTCCAATTCTTTGATTTATAAGGAGTCTTGGTTAGTTTGTTATACGAATTTATTTTAAATAACGTACATATTGTTGCTCGACGAAAACCGCGAGAAGGTGGTCTCTTCCGTCAGGAGGGGAACGTAAAAAAATTACATTCTTTTACATCATAAAATGTAATTCTTTGCATTTTCCTGTGTATGTTTATGTATATGTGAAGGTAAGGAGGATGGGAAGGATCTCGAGCGTACAAATTAAACCTAATTTCGTTATACAAAACAATACTTTTTACACGCTTATTCTTTTCCTATTTAAGCGTGATGTTTTCGCGGACAATATTTTTCACACGCTTTTAAGCGTGATGTCTCCATGAACAATATTTGTTACACGCTTATCCTTTTATCTATCGATTGTAAATGGTTTTAAAACTTATATGTAAATATTTAATTTTACGGAAGAATTTTTATATTTGTGTATTTTTTTCGCTTTTAGCATCAGAGACTCAAAATAATGCTGAGTAAACAGAAGGAACTATGAAATTAATATGCATTATATTTTTTTTAAATATTTATTTATTATAATAATTATTATGAATGTTTATAATTTGTCCCCGGCCTTTCCTTTTTTCTTTATCGGGAGTATTCCTGCAAAGTTAATTTAATTTGAAAATGTGTTTAGTATTTACACTTTAAATAAACTATACACATATGAAAATTGTGTGAATAAAATTATATTTTTATTTAGTAACACTTTTTTATAGTTTATATAATTTTGTTGTCATATTGTTTTTTACAATATTAAGAAAAACCTAAATTTCTTGTGTAAGTATTTAAATGTTTAAGATGATTTATACAGAGTTTCATTATTATTGTTCAGTAAATAAAATAATTATTATTCTGTAAATAAAATAAATAAACAAAGCAATTTTGTTTATTTAAAGAGCAACTAATCTCTGCATCGCAATGAAACTATCAAACGTTTTATTATATTATTAATGATCTTTAATATACAGGGTGACCCATTTTAACTTAGACAGCCAAATAACTCGAAACATCGCGATTAAATAAAAAAATGTTTAAAACAAATATTGTTGGATATGAAGGGGCTGATTGAACTATGACCTTGACAATGACCTTGACCTTCATTTTCAAGGTCATTTGAAGGTCAAGGTCATTTTTTAAAATAGGAAGCCCCATTTTTCGTTGAATATTCTTGTAGCTTATCTCGAGAGCTTTCCAAAACACTATAATAAAATATTTTTTCATTAAGTACTTCTCGAGTTATAAGACTCGAATGTTACAGTACCGCCGCCGACATTAGCATTATCCGCAAAGTATCCGACCGATGTCTAAAACCTCTTGAATGTTGTTCAGGATCATATCCTAGATAACATTCGTTAAGATCAAGGTTATTGGAGATTGTTTCTCTTATTTTCATTTTTGCACTGAAAATTCATGTTTATGTAAAAATGAAAATAAGAGAAATAATCTCCAATAACCTTGATCTTAACGAATGTTATCTAGGATATGATCCTGAACAACATTCAAGAGGTTTTAGACATCGGTCGGATACCTTGCGGATAATGCTAATGTCGGCGGCGGTACTGTAACATTCGAGCCTTATAACTCGAGAAGTACTTAATGAAAAAATATTTTAATATAGTGTTTTGGAAAGCTCTCGAGATAAGCTATAAGAATATTCAATGAAAAATGGGGCTTCTCGTTTAAAAAAATGACCTTGACCTTTAAATGACCTTGAAAATGAAGGTCAAGGTTGTTGTTCAATCAGCCCGTTCATATCCAACAATTTTTGTTTTAAACATTT